CAGAGTGATATTTAAGAAAAAGTAGAGGTAGCAGCCATGATAGAATAAAAAGAAACCAATCAAACTAAAAAGGAACTGTTACTGTGTAATCATTACATTGAAAACCTTTACTGCCTCTCAGATGGACTACTTACATCAACAATTTCAGGACACAATTTTAAAACAAAATTATTCTCATGCAATTTTAGGACCTGAATTCAAGAGGAAAGAACATTTGAAAATAATGGGAACTGCAAAAATGCAGTCATTCTCTGAAATAAGTCAATGAGTTTGCCATTATACAATAAGGACAGTTAAATCTTCAAGAACATTAAGCTGTGTTATTTGCACAATGAAAAGGAAAATGGATTCTGTAAACATGAGTTCTCTAAATTAATGTATTCTTTTCCTCACACTTTGGTCCAGAGAACAGATTAGGAATCTATTTCACAAGCAAAAGTGAGAGAATGCTCTTATAGATAAAATTAATTATATGTATTAATTGTCAAAATTCACTTCTCATTTTCATCCTTTTGTACGTTAGGAACCCGTTCTTTATACTGATGGTGGAACTTTGACTCTTGCAGTTTAAATCTGAAATTGTAATTGAAAACAGAGCATATTATCAGACTATGTGAACCAAGGTAATGCACTTCTCTTCCCTGGCTTTTATTTCATGTGTCAGTCAGAGAGTAATTTATCTACTGATTTCTTTGTGGGAGTCAAGTAACTGAATCACAAAAATTCTGAGCTCCTTTTTAAGCTCTTCTCCTTACTTTATCTGTGACTTCAGACATCTCACTTCATCTTTCTTTACTCCATTTCCCCCTGCAAAAATGGAATCTGTAAACCATTCCTTTATTTTCCTTCTTTCACAGAGACAGCTGCTCCTCTCCAACCCTATTTGATATTGAAACATGGGCTAACCTAACATTCTGTGCTGCAGATCAAAGACATGTTCATGTAGAAGTACCTGAGCCAGCTTTAAGGCAGATATCTCAGGTGTGGCATACAGTTTAATTAGGACTGCCTGGAAACAAATCTCGAGGGAAGATCATACAAGCCATAACCTGCAGTGCTGCAGTTTCACCACTGTAGGTCCTCTAGCTAAATTAAACAAAAAATAAAACTGATTAGGCTACTACATGCATAAATAAACTGTAGGTATGCAGAAATCAGGGGGTAGGGAGAAGGAATATAATGAAATATTTCTCAGAGTTGCAAGAAACATGAGAGAGACCTAACAAAACCAGAAGAGAAATGAAACAGAACAATGGAAGCTCCGTTTAAAGATCATGTCTATAATTAATAACATAGAAATTAGTATGAAAAAGATGTCCATTCTTCAGATTTTGAGAATACATCTTCAGCTATCCCTACCTTTGCTAGAAGAATATTTATAACCTAGGAAGCTTTATAATTCAGAGGAAAGGTAAACTATAAGGAAACATAACAATCCATAGTATTTGAAAACTAAAATAGAATGCTTCCATGCTCTTCTTCATAATGAAAAGTAATAGACACTAAATGGTTAAATAAGAATTTAAAAAAACCAAACCCCAAACATTTTTCTTAGCCTTCAGAGGATTTCACGGTTGAAATTCTTCAGGCCAGTAACTTGTCTTGTGGTAAATTAGTGGGGTTTTAGTACTCTTACTATTATTATGATTTAGAAAATCACATGCTGACTATTAACTGTTGGGGTCAGGAGGAGAAGTAATTCTGGAAGTTTCTGACACAGAGTTTTTCAAAATTTTCTTCTGAGATGTTGTATTAGGCATGGTCAGAACTAGAAAGCTATGACAAAAGACCAGGAAACTAATTTACCATGGTAATGTATTTGCCCTTGATATACAAATATGAATGTAATGGAAATGTTCTTCAGAAAATTATTGTGCAATTTACATTAAGACAGTGCCATTCTAACAGCAAAATCAGAAAAGGCTGCACATATGAGCAGAATTTCTTTGCAAGGAAAGCTCCAAGGGCAGGGGATAAATTAACTCAGAAGTTACTTTTGGTTCTGCAGATTTTACTAATTAACAAGATCTTTGCATACTAAATTTTCACAGTCAATCTGCTAGCATTTTTTTTCTTCCTTTTTTTTTTTTTCTCCCACATCTGACACCACAGCTAATCAGCAGAATAAAACTTCAATCTACATCTGACAGTCATGTAGGGTGGTGGGCAATGTTCATCATATTCTAAGAAAATCAACCCCCTTATCCATTTTTTCCACTTTTGCAGTGTTTTATTCTCAACTAAGAAAATGTAAAGAAACTCTTAACAGCAAACAGAAAGTTGAATTTCTTATATACTCTGCCTGCAAGCTGAACCTTTTAAATTTGTAATAGCTATAAAGATTACTTCTTTTCCTTAGTCATCTAGGCTTGAAAAAAAAAAAGAAGGAAACATATTGGAAGATTTCATGTACTGTGCTGAAGATTATTATTTCAAATTCTAAAATGAAAGGAAATCCAAAGCAATTAGTTATAACTGCATTGTTTCACACCAACTGAAATTAAATGGTAAATATTTGAAGTAAAAATTGATAACCAAGATCATTTCCAAAATGCTGTTTCCATGAAGAATCTTCATAAAAATCCACTATAAATCCTGATTAAAACCTAACCTAGCCAAACATTGCAGATTACCTAGATTCCAATTAAATGTGACAAATGAACGCTTGACAGACTTCAATTTCAATTCTATTTCTGTCAGAATGATCCATTAATATTGAAGACTACATTATCAGAATTTGAACAATTCAATTGTTAAAATACAAGTGGACTTAAGAATCATATGACAGAAAACTCTCACTTAAGTATCGGGTAATACATGTATGAAGGAACAAAAGTACATTCCATCCTGTTCCATCATTATTTATAGATTATTCTTAACATGAATTTCTGGAGGTAGATGACATGCCACTGTTGAAATCTTGTCTTTAAAATGTGACAGCAAAATCCAGAAATCTGTACAGTGTAGTTTTCACCACAATATCACCCAGCTGTTAAAGGTCTCTGTTCAAGGTTTTATAAAGGAGGAAATCCTGATTCTATGCATGTCTTACTATGCAAAATTTTTTTACTGGAGACTTTTTGTTCATTCACCTTGAACTAATGTATTTATTTACCTCTGTGTTTCTATCTATTAATTTTAGAATACTATTTTCAAAACCAAATCCAAGAAATTTATCCTACCAAATATAAAATAAACTATTTTCAAAAAAAGAAGCATGTAAAATATTTTAGTTATTAGAATGCAATTCTAATTTTTGGATCATTATGAAAAATTATTTTGCTTTAACTTATGACATTGCTCAAGCACTTTTTGTTTTCAGTTGCACTTCAGTTAGTGTGATTTTCTTTTTTCATTGTCTACCAAATAGATTAAGAATTATATTAATTTTTGATTCTACAGTTTCTCCAGCATGGATCATGCATATCTTATGTTAAAACAGTTTCTGAATTCAGAATTTCATGTCTACAAATTCTCTGCATTGCTGGATTTCCAAGAGAATTGACAAGTTGTTTAATTTTATCATCCTAACCACAAAATCTCACTACAAAACAGACAATAAAATAATCAGCCCAATTTAGGTACAAAGTCCACAAGCTTTTTTTCTGACATTTTTTTCCAGGAATACCATTATCACTTTTTCCCCCTACCACATCCCCAGAAAAATGAAATGTAATCAAATATATTCATATGAACAACCAAGGAAAATATATAAATGCAAATATATAAACATACATGACCTAATATAACTTTAGATGGATAATACTATCTTCCTTTTTAGTCAATAAATTTTTTTGCTATTGGGATATACAATTCAAGCATATGTAGACTTCTGTAGCCATTCTTCAGCAATGCACACTAGATTTGGAAATATCTTACCATAAAAAATAGCATAGTTTTAATGGGTTGACATGTCTATCTCAGATAAGACAAAACCCCAACAATTATTCAGTATTGAAATCTCTGAAAAACTAACATGCACTTAGCCAAACTAATTAATTCATTCTATAACAAAAAAATACACCACCCTTCTTGCATGTACCCACCTTTTACAATTGAATTAGAAAACCCATTATTTCTTTGGTTATCAAAGAAATGTTTGACATGTATTAGTTTATTTTGTTGTTTATGGGCAAATGAAAATACAATGAAGTCAGTCTCTGACTTCATAAAACTTTAGATCAAGGCCAAAAAGTGGATAACAGTGAAATATTCCTGTTTTATAAAATAAATTTCAAAATTAATAAGTCTTTTTGGCTTTTAAATCCTGAATAATTTTAGATAGAAAGAAAAAGCAACCTAACCTGAGACTTATATTAACATTTTTTTGGTTTTTAATAGTAGGAGAATTACTATGGAATAAATAATTATTTAACATTTTCCCCTTCTACTTAAATGGGCCCTGAATTTAAATGAAATGTTGTAAAATGTTGTCCAAAATAAAATGTGAAGAAAAGGAAAGTAATATTCTTCTATTCTGAATAATGAAGAATGGACCTGACATTGTGTTTTATTTTGAAAACAGTCTATATAACATGTTTGGGGAAAAGAGAATTCTCTAGAGTGGAGTTTTAAAATACTATTTTCTTTTCCTAATGCTGTATATATCACATTCTGGGAAATTTCCTAAGTAGGTTTTGAGTCAAAAATGGAAGAAAATGAGGATATATATGTCCTTTATGGTCTTTTATCTAAAATGAAAAGTATATAATTTTATTCAATTGCCGTTTCCCCAGACCTCTACTGATATTTTTTTCAGTGTTTTAACTGTTTCTGCAGTATAGATTTTAAGTAATGTAAAAAAAAAAAAAAGCTGTTTTAATTAGTGGTGTTATGTTCCATTATTTTGTATACCTGCATTTTAACAAACTTTAAAATCAAATAATTTCAATATTAATTATTTAATGTATTTATTTATGGTTTTGGACTGACCTTTCCAAAGTCTACTTAGTATCACTTGCTAGTGAGATTATGTGTGTGAATGTCGTGTTTGCCCCTACCATTTTCCATATGCTCTGCCTCACCAACACTGCCATCCGGCGTAGTCCTTTCGTAGTTGTCCTCTGGGAGTGGAAGGGCACCCAGTCTTGGCCCTGATGAACTCTTACTGCTTGGTGTTTCTGACTCCTCCAGACCGCTGTCATAGCAACTCTGCAATGACCCTTGATGCGGGTCCTGAGGCTGACTCACAACAGAAAACGTCACTCTACGAAACGGCTGCAAGAGAAAAGAGTCTGAATGTCACTGCAAAGTTCAGTCTTTGAACAACTGATTCTCAAAACATGACTTAAGCAAACTAATATTTTAACATTTACCAATTAAGCAATTTTGTCTACATTAAAGCAAACAGAAAGTACAGCTCTTACATAAAAGGCCACTGGACAGAGTATGCATGGAATTTTACTGTAATACATGGTCAGAACCTTCAGATAGTTTATCATAGCCTCCTTTCAAATGGCTTCATGGGCTAAGAGAGCTGGTTATAATTATTTATAAATTTTGTACAGCTTCTCTATCAATCAGTAGTAATACGTTTATCAGAATTAATATCAGACTTCATAAAGGTACTTTACAATGTGTGCACATGTGTGTGTGAGGTTGTGTGGGTGGGTAAAAGTGCTCATCTGTAAACTATATTGTGGGTATTACGAACATAGCAACAAACCCAGAAGATTTCTATAAAATCACTACCTGTGTTTCTGATAGCTAGTTAACATGGGAAAGGAGGGGGGAAAAAAGGAAGAAAAAAAAAAAGGAAAGGGACAAAAAAGTCTCTTAGGTCCTTTGCCGTAAAAGCCAGTGCCTGGAGACAGGGTGTGTTGCCAGCTGACTTAATAAAGCCTTTAAAGTACTGCAAGCACAGCTGACACAACACGCTTCCACTGGGACTGTACAAACATGGATTGTTAGAGATTTGTATTCATTCAAAATGACAGATATTGCTGTTGCTCTGGAAGCCTACATGCTGAACTCTGGCACCAACGAGAATCCCAGGAAATGGAAGAGTCAATCTTCCATTTCAGAGGATGCTGAGGACATGCAGGATTTTCAGCGAGAAGTTGGTGGATTTTCATAGCATTTAAACTACACTCAAGCACAATAATACATTTAAAATAATTTAATGATACATTTGGAGAACTGCAGAAAAATGTTTGTTGTTCTAGAAAACCTTCTAAAAAAAACACCAATAGATTCATTTTATAAGTCACCACACAAATTTTCCTGTGTTTAAAATGGAGTGTCTACAGTGCTATCCTTTGGATTCAGATGTGCTTCAAGCCCTGTGTTAGATTGAGACATAGGCATACATCACTCCCACTGGCAACTGTAGTCACTATAGGATGGCAGTATATATTCAGGCCAGAAGGGAGAAAACAGCAACTGCAACCACTCACACAAGCCCTGAAGAACAGAAGTCCACATGAGCTTTACAAATAGAGGGGTAGGTGGAGGTAGTTTCATTTTGAGAGTACAAAATTCTTTTGAGGGTACAAAACTTTGAAAATACCAAGGTAGTTAGTGCTGATGGTAGACAGGCAGGACAACAAATATAATGCTAACCCTTCCTGGCATGAGTAGGTCAAAAGTTTAAACAGGTGACAGTTACCAGAAATACTTTTACTGCAACTGTTTGATGGACCAAAACTTCATGCATTGAGATGCTATAATCTGCAACTATACATCAATTATTACTTAGTTATGAGCCAATGACACAAACTGTGAATCTCAGAGATTTCAATTCACTTAGAACATCCCATAGATTATTCCTGAATATCATACTATTCTAGCAGTCACATTTGGATCAACTGAGCTGGGAGAGAGGCCCTTTGGCATCTACACACATCAAACTCACACAGTCATACTAGGTTTCCTTACTGGCTCAACACCAATTTTCCTATAGCAGAGTCTCAGATGTCTCAATCCTTGAAATAATTTAGTCTTGATGCAATAACCATATAAAAGATTAACAGCTTGAGCTGGTACCTCTGAGAAGAGACCCTGAACAGAGAAAATTCTGGGCTTTATACTTTCATAGTCTAAGCACATGGAAGTCTTGGGCTCTTCAGCTTCTGTCATGTCTCTGAGTGTCTGGTCATCTGAATGGGCACAGGTCCCCATTCCCTTTATTATGCAAAGGGTTAGCAGTCAATCACCTTTTGCTTGGGGCTCCCAATGCCCAGAGCTCCCACTTCAGCTGCTCACCAAGCTACCTCCACTGAGTGTATTCCTCAATACCAGAAGGACTTTGCATCATCTACAGTTCCTGCAACAGCAGTGATGTAACTTAAAATGGGAATTAGGAAAAAAAAAAAAAAAGCCATCAAATATTTGGAACTTTATGTTCCATTTCTTATTGATTTCTTGGAAATCAGACTCAACTAGATCACAAGAAGAGAACACCTTTTTATCACATCTGTGTCTACCACAAGAGTAATAGCAAAGTTATCTAAAATAAGCTCTGGAACAAGCTATAAAAGATTCAGGAGCATCCTGTTCATTTTCAGATATTCTTTGAAAGTTACATGCCTTACCTAATTGGCATGTAAGGAAGAGATGTGACAGATGCAAAGTTTGACTGTTTTATAGCTCAGGCTGAAAATTCCCTAAGAACATCACTATATATCCTTGAAACGAAAAGAAATGTGATGTACTTTTACCAAGTTATTAATAATAGTTTTTAAACAGATATGGGTGTTAATCTTGCTTTTCTCTTAAGTGCTGTACTGAATAGGAATTATCTAACCCAAAACTAACTGAGTATTCAGTTCAGTAGAGCCAGTTCAGCCCTTTCCACAGAATATCAATGAGAATGACATAATGATGATAAAATACTTTCTGAAAGAATGATGCGCATGTTAATGGTTATTTTGCAGGATTCATTACACTGCTACTTTCAGCATAAACATCAGAATTCTGACCTTTCTATTGCACTACCTCTGAGAACCAGACCTTCTCAGGCAAATGTATTACAAATTTGGAATGCATCCAGCCTCATGGAATAACATCATGGCCTGTCCTTTTCCAATAAAAAGAAATAGACTTGGATTATATGTCTGTTACCTGCAGGGTTAGAAACAGTCCATGTGATTAACATAAAGAATTTTAAGAACAAAATAATTAAATATCTGTATTGCAATTGACTGTTTCCCACATCTTCATCTCTGATATGCAAATTACCATATAGTTTAGACAGTATAATCTGGATAAACTTTTGTTAGAGCAGAACTATCAGTTATAAAAGATACTGAGTTTTTATATACTTGGAATATTTGGGCTAAATGAATTATGGCACCTCATTTTTACACCGAAAAAACTAGGACATCTTAGAGATAAATTTGATAAAAACACAGCGGTATGGGGTGCTCTAAAATGCCTCTGAAAAAACCCTGTATATGCATGTACATGTTACTGTTCATGAAACTCATATTAGTCCTTTAATTGTTACTAATAAGAGCATTCAAGTTAAATGAGTTTAAATCCCTACGAACTTAGTTATGAACGCTAGAATACTAATACATAGTAAGTACTACTTATGCAGTAGTTTCTATGAATGCAATAAGACCCCTCCAAAACCAAGAACTTTCTTCATATACTCTAATCTTCATTTATATCTGTAAAACAGTTGTGGTTTCACGTAAAACTGCATATTAGCAAAACAAGCAAGAGTGAAAAATGATAAATACCAACATTAATGTTTCCAAAAAGTTATTGGTAAAATGCTGGTCTTCTTATGTATTTATTGCCATGAAAAAAACAAGGACAGTAAGCTCCGCTTTAACAAGTGAAGACAGAGTATATACTAAATTTTGTTCTAATATTTATAAAATTACACCAGTAATTTCTAAGAAAAATGGACATGAGAAATTTCAAAGTGTTTTGTGGAGTCGTGGGTTGGTGACAGACACATTGACACGATGTTGCAGCACGGGCAGATGGTAGATTGCTGCAACCTTCCTGAAGCATCCCCATGAGGAGAGCACTCCACCAAGCACACAGCAAATACCACACACATGCAGTGGCTGCTTCTCTAAGATGGCAGAAGCAGGAAGGGTCTTTGTATAGGTTTACAGTGGTAGTTTATTTCATGTACATGCTGAAAGGGTCCAGGGACAAAAACAGGGAGAGGTAGAGGGTCCAGGACTATATACTGGTAAATAGGGGTGGAGCCAACAGCAACAATCAATCACCTGAAAGTGTGAGTAGGAAAAGGATTACAGTGACCAATAGGGAAACTAAAGGGTAAATAGGGTACCAACGAGGGTAGAAAGAACAAAGAAACTGCTAGAACCTTGACCATATGTGGTTAACAGGCAGTTGAGCAGCCACAGGGGGAGGGCACTGGGGTTGGTTGACAGCATGTCGTAGGAGTCCATGGGAGAGGTTAAAGTTCTGGGGGACATTCTTCCAGAGCATAGCCCCAGGAAGTCTAGCAGGCCCACAGGCCTTCACAGCACTGAGTCCTCAGCAAAAAGCAATAAGTTTCATCTGGATGTCCTTTTTGTAGGGGTTTTGGATTTCCTCAACTCAGATAGCTGATTGGATGGGACCTTTCTCCACCCAGCTCTCTGGCCAGCGCTGTATCTGGATCTCTGCTAGAAGAGGATTGGCTGAGGTCTTTGCTTGGGTTTGAATGCAACCTTTCCCTGCCTTACTCAGGGACTTGTTTTCTTCTAGGTTGATTGAGTTTAGGGGGCAGCTTCAGGTCAGCTGCAATGCGTCATCTGAGTGCTGACAAATTAAGGCACTAACCTATGAGGGGACAGGGTTATGTTTAGTTTTATTGATTTTCAATGCATTACATTAAGACAGCTGTGTCTACCACCACTGTGAATCAACATGGTTGAGTAACTTTTACCCAAAGTCCACAATTGTTCAATTTGTCTATCCCAGCAAAAAAGCAACATTAAGCCTTTATTAGTCTTTTGGTAGGAACTTACACTATTCAGGTTTAGTAAGAAGACTGTAAGTTTAATAAGAAGACTGTAGGTTTGATGATTTTCACCCTCAGAAAACTGATATCATCTTTTCTGAGGACAGCATATGGAGTTCTTCCTAAATGGATCTGATCCTGGAGGTGAACAGACCACAGAGAAAAGATACACCTTTGCATTATATCTCAGTGATAAATCCCCATTTCTTCCTTGTTTCATCTGTATTTCTTAAATGGGATAGTAGTTTCCTTTCCACTCATCCACAGAACAAAAAACACTGCAACG